TGACCAACAACGTGGGAAAATGACCCTAATAGAAAATTGAAAGTAGAATTATTTTTTATTTTTTGCAATTCTTATATTATGTATACTCATTCTTACAATGTTATTGATAAGACAGAATAAAATATAAAATTATTACATAGGAAATGTAGACAAATCATTTTGACATTTTATACAACGTTAATATAGTGTTTTACACTTGACAATAGGATTGACACTTTGTATTTAATAATAATAATAGAGTAAAAAATAATGACTATTAATAAATTAATTTTTTCTCGGTAAAGAGTGATTTTTAAATGACAAATAATTTATTTATAACTGAAACGTGTGTAATATAATATAATTAAACATTATGTATTTGTTAAAGATAATTCTAAGTTATTTATTTAATTATATTTATTGAAAAGAATAATGTCATTTTAACCAAATGAATATGATGTATCAATAAAAGTGTTGATTATGTTAAACAATAAGATTAAATAAATGAAAATTAATAAAATTCAAAAAACAAAATATAAAATAATGTTATTATAAAATAAAAAATATGTTAAAATGTAATTAAATTTAATATTGACATGTGCCACCCAATGTCCCTCTCTTAAACATGTATATCATCCTACAACAAAATAAAATTACTATTTTAGTTAAAACACTTAAATATAATTCTATTATAAATTATAACTTTTATTTTATATATTCAAACAATTATTGTATTCTTTGAAAAAAATGGTACAATATTAGTTTCACTTGGGTGTTTTAAGTTAATTAAGTTAATTTTTAAAATACATTGCTCTTGAATTTTTATTTTGTCTATGAGATAAATAAAAAATTTTCCAAACATTTTGAGGTTCTATCTTGATTTTTACTGTGCTGGTAAAAGATTAAAGTATCCGCATTTTAATAAAATGGGATTTTTTTTTCAAAATAGTCTTGGGATCTGACAAAAAAATCACGAAAATATCCAACACAAATTACATATCCTAAACCACTTCCACTTTCTTCCTATCCTACTCTCGCTGTTCTTTTTATTACAATTTATTTGTGTCTCTCAAGTTTTTAAACTTCATTTGATTCGTCGAAAGATCACATATATATCAAATATATATTCCAAAATTGATTACTAATTACATAAATGATTTTATTTAAATAATTATTTAAAATGTACTATTTGGAATATTTCTTTTTGAGTACCATCCAAGTCTGTAAATTCAAATAGTAACTTAGATTTATGGTACTTACGTTTTGGATTTTTACAGTCCCGGGCTATATGGCTCACTATTCCACACCGGTAGCATTTCGCTGTAATAAGAGACATATATTAATCATAAAACTTAATGATATATTTGGTTATACTTACATTTTGGGGGGTTTACAATTCCGAAATTCGCTGATTGTGTATGAGTATGAATATGAATAATATTTTGTAAACAGATGTAACGATTAGTGAAAGACTATTTCTTATTTTTTTAAATTTAAATTTCACTCCCCATACAATTTAGAAATTAAA